CAGCAGGAAACTCATCCCTACCAAGTGCCTAGGTGAGAACAAGGAGCTGGCCTTGGTCGGACGTTCACGGCAGAGAGCCATGCTCCCACCAGGAATTCAGATAGACATCTCTAAAGGGGTTATTGCCCTGGGGCAGAAACCTCCTGGGAACACCACACCCCTCAGGACCCATGTACAAGTACCTTTTACCCCTAAAACTGATCTTGAACCAGGAAGAGAACAATTCAACCTCCACCACTGTAAAAGCCTTCTTCCTCTTTACAACACCCTAGAAATGGACTGCATTTCTGTGCTGGGACTGCCTGTACTTTCTGAGGCTGTTATCAGCCAAACAGTAGAGCAGTTTGGGGCAATAACACAGCACCAGTCCAATGCTCTCTGCTCGAGGGTGTATAACAACGGGGCAGCGTACCTGGGCCATCAGAATAACCTGCATCGCCTGGATCATCCGTACGCTGCCATGTACTGGCGTGGCTCACCACGGAGCCGCGTGTGGGACTACGCCACCTCCCTGTAACACCTTCCCCAGCAACCCCAGTCAGGAGAACAAGGGGGTCTGCAGCAAAGGAAACGCTGGGGGCGGTCAAAGAGTATCACTGTGGGGAAGGAAGGTCCCACTGCCCTGCTCCCTGTCCAGGGCGCGCAGGAGGAGGCCGCAATCGGGAAGACGGAGAAGGGCCGGAGCAGGGATAAGGCACCTGGGCAGAGGAATGGGGAGCAGGCCTGGTGCAGGGCTGCCCCTGCAATGAGGTGCCCGGTGACAGGCCCAGACCCAGTTGCCCCCATGATGAGGGGTGCCTGATGACAAGACCAGGCCCAGTGTACCCACCACGAGGCATGTGGTGACAGGCCCGGGCCCGGTGCATCCACCATAAGGTGCCCAGTGATGGACCAGGCCCGGACCCCCATGACGAGGTGCCAGTGACATGGATCGGGCCCAGGGCCCTGTGACGAGGCGCCGGTGACATAGACTGGGCCTGGGCCCTGTGACGAGGGCTTGGTGACACAGACCGGGCCCAGACCCCCATGACGAGGGGGCCGGTGACACGGACCGGGCCCAGTGCACCCACCATGAGGTGCCCAGTGATGGACCAGGCCCAGGCCCCCATGACGAGGGACTGGTGACACGGACCAGGCCCGGGGCCCCAGGACGAGGGGCTGGTGACACGGACCGGCCCCGGACCCCGTGACGAGGGGTCCGGTGACATGGACCGGGCTGCTGTGATGAGGGGTCGGTGACACGGAGCAGACCCCCGGGACGAGGCGCCGGTGACACGGACCGGACCCCCAGGACGAGGGGCCG